TGCATGTCTAATGACCTTTGTCAGCAAGCAAACTTGGGTCCATTTCTCCATCATTATATGAGGGTCAGGCCCGCCCTTCTCCGGACTCTCCAGGTCTTACTCCCACACCTCCAATCGTCCCTTCAGTCTGGAACTAGATTGAAAATCCGGAGTCGGTCAAATTTCACCCCTCATTTTCGCCGAGGCCACCATTAGAGAGAGAGAGAGAGATCTTGTAGCGAGATCTTGTTAGATCTGCCTGCATAATTGTGAACCCTCGGGATATTTACAACACGCGTTGGCTCTTTTTTAACTAAACTCCGAAGCGTATAATTCAACATGGCGGCGGCGACGGGGACAACGCCGACGTACATGGGCCTTCAAGGCCGATCGCTGTCCATGATGGTCAGTACGGTGGCCACCACCGGATTTTTGCTATTCGGTTACGATCAAGGAGTGTAAGTTGTAATACAACCCACAAATCCCCTTCGATACTACCTGCGCATGTTCATCGACTACAACGTTGTCGCGTACGGCTCGCATCATGTGTCAATAACGGTACTCTAGCATAATTAAGAAAAAAGTAAAAGAAAGAAAAAAGAAAAAATACTGACCCGGTTCTAGAATGAGCGGTATCATCGGTTCGACCCATTTCTCAAATGTCTTCACGGAAGTAAAAGGCAATCCGACTATGCAAGGTCTTGTCACCGCCATTTACGAGATCGGATGTCTCATTGGCGCCATGTTCATTCTCGGAGTCGGTGATTTACTGGGCAGAAGGAAGGCAATGGTACTGGGAGGATTTATCATGATTATCGGCGCCACAATTCAAGTCACTTCGTTCCCGGGCCACCAACCGCTAGCTCAATTCATCATTGGTAGAGTCGTCACTGGCGTCGGCAATGGTATCAATACCTCCACTATTCCGACTTATCAAGGTACGTAACTCTTGCGGCGGCTCTATGTGGATTTTTATTTCTTGGCTTATTTTTATATGTATTAATTCTAACACTCTCATAGCCGAATGTAGCAGAACCTCCAACAGAGGTTTGCTTATCTGCATCGAAGGCGGTATTATCGCATTCGGTACTGTGATTGCATACTGGATCGACTATGGCTGCAGCTTTGGCAGCGAGGACCTTTCATGGCGTTTCCCTATCGCTTTCCAGATCATTTTCGGTCTCTTCGTGTGCATTTCTATGGTTTTCCTGCCTGAAAGTCCTCGCTGGCTTCTCACCCACGAGCGGTATGAGGATGCTGAGATTGTCATCTCGGCCCTGCGAGGTTATGAGATGGGCAGCGAAGAGACTCACACGGAACGAGACATCATCTTGGACTCCATCCGTGCTAGTGGTTTCTCCGGGCAGAAGAGCACTCCGGTCAAAGCCCTTTTCACTGGTGGCAAGACCCAGCATTTCCGACGTATGTTGCTTGGCTCTAGCAGTCAGTTGATGCAGCAAATTGGTGGTTGTAACGCTGTCATTTACTACTTCCCGATTCTCTTTGAAGACAGCATCACTCCCGGCGACGAGAACATGGCATTGCTCATGGGCGGCGTAAACATGATCGTCTACGCTATCTTTGCTACGACCTCTTGGTTTATCATCGAGCGGGTCGGCCGACGAAAGCTGTTCCTTTACGGAACCATCGGACAATGCTTGTCTATGGTTCTCACGTTCGCTTGTCTTATTCCTGGTCCTCATATCCCCGGTCAAGCATCTAACGCGGCTAAAGGTGCAGCCGTTGGTCTTTTCGTAAGTTTCATGGCTAATGGGATCTGTTAACCATACGAAATTTGCTAATATATCATTAACAGACTTACATCGCCTCATTTGGCGCGACTTGGCTCCCGCTCCCCTGGTTGTACCCCGCTGAGATCAACCCCATTAAGACCCGCGCGAAGGCGAACGCTACTTCGACTTGCACGAACTGGCTATTCAACTGTATGTACTGACTTTATATATATCCCTTGATCGGCGAAGCATTATAATCCCTTTTCCCCTTTCACCGAGTGTCGGTAACTAATCAGGTATTGCAGTCCTTATCGTCATGATCACACCGATTATGATCAGTAACATCGGTTGGGGCACCTATCTGTTCTTTGCCGTCGTCAACGCCTGCTTCTTGCCCATCATCTGGTTCTTCTACCCCGAGACAGCCAAGCGATCGCTTGAAGAGATTGACATCATCTTCGCCAAGGGATTCGTGGAGAAGAAGTCTTATGTCAAGGCTGCGGAAGAACTGCCTCTTCTCAGTCCCGAGGAGGTCGAACAAGAAGCTCTCAAGTACGGACTTATCGATGTTGCCGCTAGAGGTGCGGCGCGTTCTGCTGGCCCTGCCGGTGTGGTTCACGAGAAGGCTCTCAGTGAAAAGAGCGGGAAGAGCGATGAGGCTGGAAGTCGGGAGGAAATTGAGAACTAAGGTTTCATTGACACCTTGTACTCCTTCTGGTTGGTACCAATAATATGGTTGATGATAACAGCCACGGGTGCGTAAACTTGATAATGCTTCGATTAACGAAGTCTCTGGAGCCAGATTTGCTCCAAACCAATTTCGATGGTAGACTGGTTAGATAGACCTGGATTCGGCCAGAACTAGATTTCATAGATCTACACTTACTTTAACGGGGGTTGAAGGTGCAAGATACCCATATTGCTATAACGCAAAACGTTGATAGTCAATACATTCTTTATAACGCCCTAGAAAATGGCATAGCATCGTGATGATATGAGACCAAGATGAATTTCCTTTTGGGTAGTGGTGGCAGCAACAGAGGTTAATCCCCTCAGGCTTGGGACTTATCGGATCCCCTCTACGAAATCGTTCGGGAGCCGATTATGGTAGGTACCTAAATTGTCGAATAAGTCAACTTAATAATTCGCTTGTGTCTGTTGCTCCAGTAGTTCAGTAAAACAGCCATTTATCTTAGTAGATTCCCTTCGTGAATAAACCCAACCTCTTGGATTCTATGTAGTCATAGATTGTTACGTTTGCAATATCATGGCTATTTGTCCAGTAGAATCTTCCACAACCCATCTGGACATGTTTCTCTGCAATTGGAAGAAGAATGGTGCCCTTACACTCTGGAGAAACGCACACTTTTCGTGAAAACTCTGAAAACCCCTTTTTAGGCTTTCAATGGAGAACAAAGTTAAAAATGTGAAGCACTCAAGGTTTTTGATATGGATCGATATCAAGTTTGGAAATGTTACTGGTGGTGGCCAAGTGGATTACTACACACGTCAGGTGCTGCCAGGTGCTCACACGTGCATAATTAGTGAAGTTAAAAATGCTGCTAGTCAAAATGTTACTAACACAACTTCAACACTCATGGACAAATTTCAGGATATGAACAAATATCTAACCATAAAGGGAAAACATAAGGACGTCTCTGTTAAATCCAAATACATTTTCTCTAGCTTGGCTGGAGTTTTGTTAGAAAGGCATCAAGCGCAAGTATGCTATCCATCTTGCCTGACTCACTTGGTTAGATCATAAATAAAGGGGGGAAACATAAAGGGGTAAACACCAGACAGATAGCAAACATAATATCGTCAACATAGAACTATTAACATCACCCCTTAAGATCGTTGAAGGGGATCCATTACGGCCTAATCTTTCGAATCTATATGGACATGTAATACCTTACATAAATATATCGGTACCATGAAATAATTGCTTCTCAGTAGCCCCCAGTCTTTTCGTTTTAGGGGTTTTTTCTTATAAAAAGCCCTTGTGCTACTGCCAAGTACTATCTCCTAATATAGTAAAAATAATAAAAAAGCCATTTCACGTATTATCTCCCTGTTTATGAGAAGTAGATGTCCCCAATACGTTCAGCATTTAGATTCCTACCGGGAAACTTGTGATGTGCCTTGGTCCATACGCTGTAGTTTATTTAGCCTTGTCCCCCTTTCTTAACAGCCAAATCACAAGGCTAGAAATTGTTGAGGATTGTGTAGTACTTTGTCTTCACAATCCCGTCAGATATCCATCTTCGTCAGAGAGCCCTAGTCAGGATTATTACCGACTCCAATTCGATTTCTTCCTCGGAATTGACGAAAAATATTCAATCAATTAAACACCTCAGCATCCATCCACCACAGACCATAATATCAGATTGCTCTAGATAAGCCTTACTTACTAGGTACCAAAATCACTCTGTCGTTCCATTGGCTGCTGCGGCCAATGTGTTCCTTCCATTTATTATGTTTTAGTTCAACTCTTTCATATTCATCCCGTTAATATGTGACTTCGTCAAATCACAGCCTCGAAAAGACGTGGGTCCACGATATTAGTGCAGAATTAGGTACTCTTCTAGATTATCGATCATGATTCCGTTTGATCAGATAAAGTACCAGTCACCAGATAATATCTATTTCGCTTGAATTCCCATTAGGCCTAATTACAGGTACCTATCGAAGGAATTCTAGTAGATTTTTGGCCTTGTGATTGGCAGACATCGAAACCTCACTGCGTCATGTCCATTACTAGCATCTTTCTACTCCTATTGAACTTACTCACGATAATTCCGAATTGGGAGATCTGCCTCTATTCCGACCCCTTCGCGGGGACCAAGGTCACACATATAAACCCAGGCGAGTCCCATGTTGTTCATCCTATCTTCTAACTCGCCATCCACAACTTTGCTCAATCACCAGTTGCTCTTCTTCCCCCTTTGCTCTCCTACTTGCTCTCCTACTTGCTTTCCTACTTGCTCCTATCCTTGCTTTTGCTTACACGACACAGCATAGCCGCTACTCGTGTCACAATTCCTTAGAGTAAGTCGTCCTCTTTCCAATTTAATATAAACCAGAAGCCCTCAAACCCCCGTCCCTATTAGACGCTACCAATTCCCTTCATACTCTAAACAAATACTTCAATGCTCATCCGATATTCATCCCCCTCTACCCAATTCCTATCTACCGTTTCCTCTCACTCATTACCTCGCTTTTAGCACCTACACGTTGCCAACTTGCTCCACCAACTCGCTTTACGAACTTGCTACGTCTTTGAACACCATGTCTTCCAACAACCAAGCTCGTTATATCGCTCAGATGGAGGAACTTTACAGAAATCCTCTGCACCCTACCTCGGTTCCCTCCTACAACTACCATACCAGCACGTACCCGCATATTGGAATGCCTCAGACAATGTCAACAAGTGTAGGTACAACTATGCTACCTATTTCGGGTACAGGTACACACGGAGCTCCCCAGGTGCAAATGGAGCAAATGATGTCTTCCAATAGCGGCACCTATCAAGGATTAATCCGAGACTTTGTGCACTTCCGCCAAGTCAACGATCAGTACTTGAAAATCCACAATCGCCCTAGGGGTGATTGCTCAGACTTCCCCCTTGACCCCCAGGAACAGCAGCAGCTAGTAAAGCTGCTCTTTGAGGCTGCACACGACTGTAGTGAGACGTACGAGCCCGAAGGATCCCAGAGTGTCAGGCGCATCAGTCAAGGCAGTTATACTGATGTAGAATTCGAGTTGGTCTTATGGCCTTTACTGGTAAGAGCATGTGAATTTAAATTGAGTCTTCAAACTAAAACTCAAATAGTTCTCGACACGGGATGCACAGATGGGACAGTGTAGACTCCCCAACTATCTTTACTGCAGGGAACCGCCTTATAACTCTTACGGTTCCTTCATGGAAAGATTTACAGCGGTTTGTGATGCCCTCAGAGTATGTTACGTCAACCCTATAAGTATCTATTTATCCTAATGCTAATTGATTTAGTTGTCGAAGGATGTTGTGGTGTCCCTTTTTAAAGATGCGACCTTCAAGCATCGTCTTGGCTGGAGGCCGAGAACAGAGCTCAACGTAAGTGCAATGTGATAACATTCTAGGAAGACATAACTAACAATCATAAAGCAAAAAGCTACCAATAGAAAGCTTAACGGGGAGCGAGACGTCCAGAACGCGATCGGTATTCGCGTGGCCCAAGAGAACGGTATAAAGGCCAACAAAAGCGGTGAGCTCGTGGACAAAAACGGCCAGGTCTATGGGAACGTTAAGAAGCGATCTACCACGTTTGAACACAGAATCACAAGGACTAGAAAACGTGGTCGAGACCCGAAACAGGAGAAAGCATCCGAGAGCTTGCATGCGCCAAATGAGGAACCAAAGACGGGCAACAATATCAACGAAGTCATTGGAAACGACGGAGGGGCGGGTAGCGGTATGCATTTGGATTTCAATCCTTGTGGGTATACGGAGAATCCATCCGGGGAAAGCCAGGAGACTCTGACGGGGTATGCTCCCAGTACTCCCAATAACACAAATAACCTGATGCAACCTACCCCCCCTCCAACGACAAACATCTACGGGCAAGGTCCTAACCCGCTTGTAGGATCTAATATGTCCTTCCAACCCTCTTGCCAAAGCAATGGCAATGCCTCGTCGGCATATGCGTCTTACGAATGGTTCTCTAATCTGCCACAGGCCGCCGACCACACAGACGCAGCGATGGATTCCAACTTTGATTTAGGATTACTGCAAACTGGAAATGGGAACGGCGAGCAGTACAGCCAATATCAGGATGTCGCTCCTCTTCCTCACTTTAACCCCACGGTATCAGCTCCTTTTGGTAACCAGCTTGACCAGACAGTAGCTCAAGAGCAGTCCGACTTTCTTGATTTCGTACCTTACGCGGATCCACTGCTTCAAGGTCAATATTGTCCCCCGAGCACTTCGACTTATCGTGGAACATTTTAAAGCCGCGAGGTTTGGAAAATGGCGAATTGTTAATATTCGGATACGAGTCTGGAGGGTGACCTGGCTTCAACAGCCTCTGTATGATTAGGAAGAAGGATAGGAAGGAGTTGGCGTATCGGATGGATGGATTCGGAGCAGTTTCTTTTAGTTTTCTTATTATACCCAGGCAAGGTTTGGAAGGCGAAGGACGCTTTCATATAATACCAGGTAGCCATAGGAAGGATTGGGGATTAGGAGGTCTTTAATACTCATTTCATAGTAGTCTAAATTTCGAGGTTATTCTCTTTACGTATTATATCTCGTGGCCCATTCACAATTTCTCTTGAGTGTAACAACCGATGTTTTTCAAATGCAGTGCCTTGATATTCAGTGGTAAATATCCATTATTGGTATACCTGTCGTCCAGATATTCGCTGGTTGATGGACCATTCACTTGATTCAACGTCGTGGGCGAGGAAACCTGTTTGAAGAAGTCACAAGTCTTGTCGGACTCAATTAATCGCCTTTTGAGAAGCTAAAAGTATAGTATCGTATTGTCACAACAGAAACGAAAGTTTTTCATTCTTATGACCTCTAGAATTAGGAAACCTGCCTGGCCGTTTAGTCTTCTTAAGTATTTCCAATCACGCTTTAAAAATTACCCTCGTAACCTTCACGTGAAGCTTTAGAATAGATAATGCCTAGTTAGTGACAGATAGTGCATAGTATATATCTTGTTATATATTGTTATAACCACCTAGGTTACGATTTTTTCAGAGATGTTAAGCAATGCATATGTTGAATGGAGTGTTACGTACTCAGAGACTGACCAATTAGAATAGTCAATTTAACCATAAGTTAGGAGCTCTTGCCCCTGAAACCACCACGTTTATTGTGGTTAACCATGATGCTACGTAGTCTCGGCAGATAACCGAGCTTTCCCGATGTGGTGATCGCATTATAATATGGCTTCTGTGATTGGTTCATTCTTGCAACGGCCAAGCTCAAGATGACAGGGATATGACGAGATGGCGGCTCTAGGAGTTATGCATTACATCAACACTTTTGACTATTCCATGAAGAACATCTCCACACCTAGCCCGGCATTCAGTTTCAACCCAGCGGTAGTGATGGCTGCTTGACGTCAATGACATATCGCGCCACGCATTTCTATGTAATATGGTGACCTACAGCGGAGAGATGCGGCACTAGGAAACCTACATTTCTAGTACAAGAAGGAGATGTAGACACATCCGTAAGCTATCCGGCTTCTCTTCTTACTTTTCTTCACTGTAACTTATTAAATCCTCTCGACCCGGGCGGATTTATCTAGTTGCCCCTTACTTATGTCTTCAACTTTCTTGTCAAATACAGCGGATAAAGTGAAAATCATGGTCGCCGGAGAGAAAGGCCGCAAGGTCGCCGACCTTGACACCGTCACCCAGACGGTGTCGTCCAATGATAGGATTACTTCCGACTTTGGCGTGAAGATGGGCAATGTCGACGAATGGCTACGAGTAGCCAGCAATGACAAGACGGGTCCTATGCTTCTGGAAGACTCATTTTCCAGAGAAAGAGTTGGTGATAACTACTTCCATTGCTTGAACTACCACTGACCCCCACCGCAGATTCACAGATTTGACCACGAACGAATTCCCGAACGAGTGGTCCACGCACGAGGCGCTGGTGCGTTCGGTAACTTCCGATTATTTAAAAGCGCCGAAGATGTGACAACGGCAGGAGTTCTTACAGACACCACTCGTGAGACGCCTGTTTTCGTTCGATTCTCCACCGTGGCAGGATCTCGCGGTAGCGCTGACACCGTGCGCGATGTGCGCGGGTTTGCGGTCAAGTTCTATACGCAGGAGGGCAACTGGGATATAGTTGGAAACAATATCCCGGTTTTCTTCATCCAGGACGCTATCAAATTCCCGGATGTTATTCACGCTGTGAAGCCTGAGCCTCACAATGAGATACCACAGGCTCAATCAGCTCACAACAACTTCTGGGATTTCGCGTTTATGCATACCGAGGCCACGCACATGTTTATGTGGACGATGTCAGACCGAGCGATCCCGCGATCATTCAGAATGATGCAGGGGTTTGGCGTAAACACATTTGTTCTAACCAACAAGAATGGCGAGCGTCATTTTGTCAAGTTCCACTGGACTCCCGAACTTGGTGTCCACTCATTAGTTTGGGATGAGGCTTTAAAGATAGCAGGCCAAGATCCCGACTTCCACCGCAAGGATTTATGGGAGGCGATTGAGTATGGAGCTTTTCCAAAGTGGAAGTTCGGTATCCAGGTGATCCCTGAGTCTCGGGAGCACGATTTTGATTTTGATATCCTTGACGCGACGAAGCTTTGGCCCGAAGATCTCATCCCAGTTCGATACATCGGCGAGCTCGAGCTTAACAGGAATGTGGATGAATTTTTCCCCCAGACCGAACAGGTCGCATTCTGCACAGCGCATATGGTTCCAGGAATTGCCCATTCGAATGATCCCTTACTACAAGGACGTAGCTTTAGCTACTTCGATACACAGCTATCCCGTCTCGGAATCAACTGGCAAGAACTTCCTATTAACAAGCCAGTCTGCCCCGTTATGAATTTCAACCGTGATGGCCAAGGGAGACATGCTATCACTAAAGGACAAGTCAACTACTATCCCAACAGGTTTGAGGCACGGCCGCCGGCCACTGCGCAAGAAGGCGCATATCCGGAACCGCCTTTCGACGTCCAAGGTATTAAGGCACGAACCAAGAGCGTTAAATTCCGGGAGCACTACAACCAAGCCCAGTTGTTCTATAACAGTTTGTCTGAGCCGGAGAAGAGGCACCTTGCCGCCGCATTCTCATTCGAATTGGATCACTGCGACGATCCTGTCGTCTACGAGCGCATGACTCAACGATTAGCCGACATCGATTTAGGACTCGCTCAGACTGTAGCCGAGATAGTCGGAGGTTCGAAGCCCGATACCTACACCAGAGAGAACCACGGCAAGAAAGCTAGTAAGCTTAGCCAGCTTGAATTCCCGCCAGAGAAGCCGACAATTGCTAGCCGTCGCATCGCTATCATTATTGCAGACGGCTTTGACATTGGTGTCTACAGCGCTGTTAAGGCCGCGGTCATAGCGTCTGGCGCATTACCCTTCACCATCGGAACACGCAGGTCCGAGATATTCCCAAAAGATGTACCGAAGTCACCAGGTTCTGGCGTGAAACCCGACCACCACCTCGAAGGCATGCGATCTACCTTGTTTGATGCAGTATTTGTTCCTGGCGGTTCTGAGTCGATCAAGACTCTTTCTCAGAGCGGGCGTGCTCTGCACTGGCTCCGCGAAGCGTTCGGACATCTCAAACCTATTGCAGCTACGGGTGAGGGAATTGAGTTACTCAAGCTGGCATTCGCATTACCAGGGATCCAAGTGTCAACGAACGACCAGGCGGTTGAATCATATGGCGTTGTCACTATGCGTCGTGTGACCCCTGATAGCTTGAAGGGGACTATTGCGATCGCAAAGGAGGGAGCAAAACTCTTGGAGAAGTTCTGGTACCAAATTTCGCAACACAGGAACTATGAAAGAGAATTAGCTGGGCTTAACGTACAGGTTGCGTATTAAGAGAAGTTATGGACGTGGAGTTTAGGAACTAAGGAGAATGTTACTCATAGTACCTGTACTACTAAATCATGTTAAACCATAACGAATTATATAGAGTATCTTAACTCAAACAATGCTATAATTGCAATGCATATTAGTCTCGATTGCCTACCTGTTAGAATAAACGCTTTATGTCAACCTATAACCTAACTGGGCATATTAGCACTCATTCGAGTTATTATACGGAGTTCAAGTGTACAGGTACTTAACACATGACCTGCGAATAGTCTATTAGCTATTGATAATATGAATCAGTTATTATGGTATTGGTATAGGCCGCCGTTGTAAGTAATTACTGCTTATGGTCTTAACGAGTAAGAGTGGGGTCATCGTATTGTATCATACATATTGTAATAGAATTGCAGTCTACAGCCGGTCATGGGAATAATCGAAACTTATAGAATAATCAAGAAATATGATTGCCCAATAAAACATAACCAGCTTCAATGACCTTTTTATAGTATAATTTTTATTCTATTTACACTTAATTATATCCTCATCTTCGCGCAATGCTTCCTATTCGATCATGCCATTACCTAAACGCTCTAAAACTTCCAGACAACGTGTCGGTTACCTAGCATCGTTAGTGATACGACCCAAAACAGGGTTAGTGTAATTGGTTCTATGTATATAACAGCCCCATACTATCGATTATAAATACGCTCACTCGTTCGAGAAAGGAGGTAACATTTGTAAGCATGCCTTCGAATATAAATCGAAGCTGTTTTCGCGAAACTGACTGTAATGAATCCCTTTGGCGGCAGCGACATTGACTGATTCAATATCCCATTGACATATTGTTGTAAATATAAGAAACACACTATGGCGACTTCAACACATAACGGTCTTGTCATAGTGGCTCCCCGAGCCCCCTATGAAGTTCATCAATTCCCCACGATCCCACCAGTAGACGATGAAATCCGTGTCCATGTCAAGTGGACGGCTTCTACACCCCTGGACCTTCATCAGGCAGATGGTGGGCTCTTAATTGAAATTCCATATAGAACTGGATCTACTTCAGCTGGCGTTGTTGTCGAAGTTGGTCCCAACGTGAAGCACCTACGAGTTGGTGATAGAGTATTTGGCTTTGCTCATCAACAACCGAAGTGGAAGGCTCATCAGGAATATTCCACTGCTCCTGAATGGGTTTTCGGAAAGGTTCGTGACATTCCCGAAAGATAAACCCATACTTGCCATGGTACAAAAACTAACAGGTCGACAGATCCCTGATAATGTTCCCATGGAAGAGGCCGTAACGCTGCCGGAGAACTTCGTCACAGCGTTTAACACCATCTCCACTGACTTGGGCCTCCCTACCCCGTGGCCGAAGCCTGAAGGCTACGTGCCACCTAGGGCTGATGACCCGATCTTGATTTGGGGTGCTGCGTCCTCAGTAGGACAACTTACTATCCAAGTCCTAAAGTTTTATGGCTACCGTCACTTGATTGCGACCGCATCGCCGCGCCATCACGAATTCCTGAAGAAATTAGGCGTCGAAGAAGCCTTTGACTATAGAAGTCCAACAATAGTTGATGACTTGCTAAAGGCATATAAGAAAGGGGATGTCCCAGCTTTCCCGTTGATAGTCGACTGCATCGGCTCGCAAGACGGATCGGTTGGCCCTATTTCCAAGATCGCCCAGAGCGGTACCACCGTCGCAATCATGCTACCGGTCATCTTGAAGCACGCAACGGAGACAGAAGCACCCGAGTACTCGATGGACGCAAGCACCAGCGCCCAGTGGGCAGAAGGCGTCAATGTACGCGGCGTGCGGACGTTCTTTTACTGGAGAGTAAGTCTTAACCCCCTTCCCAAGTTTCCGAAAGGTCGGCATGAACTAACCACAAACTTACCTACCAATTAGAACCCGCTCTTCAAGGAGAAACTACAGTTAGACATCATGCCTCAGATGCTGGCGGCCGGTCACGTGGTACCGAATCGCATCCGCGTGGTTGAAGGACGTACCCTGCTGGAGAGGGCTACCAAGGCGTTGGAATTACTTCGGACGGGAGGGGTGAGCGGAGAGAAGCTCGTCTGGAGGGTTTCGGAGGAATGAAGAAGGATGAATGAGGTTCCTGATTAGGTACTTAGTTTTGAGCGAGCTTTGATGTAATAATACCCGAATTGATTACCTGTACTCAATCTTGAGTACATATGAGTTGTGAGTATCTTATTTCACGTTGGCGAAAATGATTACTAGGTACTCGTAAGGGGCTAGGAGGCCTGACCAATGAGCTTTTGTAATTAGAATATGTATATAACAGCATTCAAATATGATTACACTATCGTTACCCATATTTTGGGATCATCCTTCGTAACCGGCCCCCAAGACTGGTCTCCCGCGACGTGTAGGATCTTATCTAGTGTCAGCTTTCCCTGCTTCGCCTCGTCCCACAACTCCGGTTCCTTCTCTTCTTGATTTTCGAGCTGGTCTTTATTCTTCATCGGCTCCTTGACAAAAACTCCTACTCCGATGCGAACGACTTGGTACAGGGCTTGGAAAACCAAGTTTTTCGTCTCCGAATACTCGGCTATGTTGCGATTGACATCAGGGGTCGTCAGGACTGGCTTAGAGACGAGAGTATCTGGGTCGTTAGTTCCATCTTCGTTTCGCTTGGCCTCTAACTCGTTGGTTCGCAGGATCAGCGCTTTCGAGGGATCCAGGAACAGAGCGTAGCAGGGGTACGAGATCGACTCTTCTGGTACGTCTAGATGCAAGCTACCGGCCGATATACCACGGTCATCTTCTAGATCGATTTCCACTGGGATACCGTGTCGATCCCACCTCTTCTTCGGCGTATGGGGTTTAACTTCGTATATGGGTCCCTGTTAAAGCGTCAGCCAGCTGTACACCTGAGAATGAGATGCTATTATTGGAAAAATCCGCCTTACCTCTATATCCAGTTTACCACTCGATACCCTACCGTAGGGGTCTTTGCCGACAGGAACAGTTGAGCAATTAATAATCGAGGAGACCAGGTTCGTGAAAGATAACGGAATATACTTGACAGGTCCGTCGAGTGACGCCCACGACCAACTAGGCGCTCGATACTCAGGCGGCCTACGGACAGTCCCCAAGTGTCTGCCCGTCAGCGGTGTGATCTTCGCATCCCTCCGATCCTCTATCTCTTCGTAGGGGTACATCCGCCAACATAGATCTTCCATGAAGTGCCTACGCCATAAGCCCGCGTAGTAGCGATCGCCTGTCTCTTCTGCCACCGCTCTCGCCACACCAGCTAACGCAGTGAGCTTATCGCGCTTTACAGTTAAATTGCGCATCGTGTAATTCTCGACCAAGGAGAGCCACCCTCCCTGCCATCTAATTCCCGGGTATTTCCCCCCAGCCTCCTGGCCGACGATAAAAGATATACCGGATGCCTGAGAAAGCCCGTGCTGCTTATAAGATATACACTACGTGTCCAGGAGGCGTTTCATCCCGAAGTAGATATCGCTAAACGTGAATCCATCTTCGGACTGAATGCAAGTCTCGCATTCAAAGTACATCTGGTCGCGGGCGTAGTGGATAAGGCGCTGGGAAAGCAGACGTTCCTGCAGAGTCCATGCCCGCGAGCTGAGAGGCTCGTCGGCGATCGGATCGTACCGCTTGCCGAACGACCCTATCCCCATTCTTTGAGGGAAGTGGAAGCTAGATCCCGGCAACCACTCCTCAAACAGACGAATCGAATTCTTTTTTCCGGGCTGAGATGTGTATTCGTATACTAGTTCGTGGCTCATCGGCACCGTCGCTTCTCTAGGAATATCGTATCCGAGTGATATATTCGCAGGATTGACGTATGAATCGTTCTCGCGTTTTGGAAAACAGCCCGAATAACTGTCTTTTGAAGCAGCCGCTGATATAGTTAGGTACGAATTGCGATAGACTTGGCTCATTGCGGACGCCTCTTTTCCCCAATCATCGGGATCATCCTGAATAATGCATAGACAGTCTATCCAGAGGTACTTGATTCCAAGGCGTTGTGTGATTTTGATTGCGTCCTGGAACGTCTTAGGGAGAAATGATACAGCAATACCCTCCTTAAGATCATGAATAGACTGCTTAGTTGCCATCAACCTTGACGATGTACCCCAACAGTGACTGGGAGTTACATATCTCCCCTTTTGACCATTGGATTCAACTACTGATACCCCGCGGCTGGAAGCAAATACATCTATGACACGCGTTGGGAGTTAGGGGTTTAAGTGCGGACGTCCGCAGAAGGGATGATTTAATTCACAATCTTTCATCCATTTCTCAAGACGGCCAATCGCGATATCAGAGTCTGATTCCATCTCACGTAGGCGACCCGGTATCGTGCTAAGCATACTATCTTTAAGGGGTCAGCTCGTTAACTCTTAGCCTTGATTAGGAACCTAGGCAAGTATCTACTTACCATCGCTGGTACAGATGCCAATGGAGCTTCCACGCAGGCTAACCTCGTTAGGCCTGCTATTGAAAGCATCGAATTGGCTTTGAGTCTTTCCAAACCGAGCTCCTACTCCCATGAGTCGCAGATGGGTCGTATCGCCAGCGCCACCCGGCTCGTGCTTAGCCCACCAATTACCATAAAGCCACGCAGGTAAATCGGCTGAATCCTCTTCACCAATATTGAGTGATTCAAGGTTTATAGTATCATCGCCTACATGATTACCGTCGGTTTTTATATTGCCTGTTGCCGCCAAAACTGCTCTCCCAACGCCATTGTTATATTCCGTCGACGTAGCTGGCATGCATGATCCAAGCTCCTTCACGTATGTAATTTTGCGTACGTTGGAGCCTTCACGATAATTTATGGCGTTGAATTGTCTCCAATAGCCCATTCCCTTTCTTCTACCTCGCGAGTCCTGATAGTTAGATATCGCAGCGCGAAGTACCATGGAACATAGTCGACACGATTTTGCTGATGCCTCTAAGGCGCGACGTGAGGCATGGTGCGGTGTCGCGAGCACCTCTTCGGGCTGGAGTTGGAACCATAGTATCTTTTCGTATACTGAATAAGTCTTATGAGGAGCGCCAGGCCCTATAGAAGCCATTATTAAATCCCGCCTAGTTAGATATCTCCGATTTCCTTCTCCTTATAACTTGACCCCAGCATTCTACGGTCTTGAGACGTATATAAAGCATCAGACCGATCCATAAAGAATTGTAAACAAGTCAACCGCTATTGGAAATAAAATTAAAAGAACAACTTGTTATTTTACATATGATCGGCCAGCGCATTCTAGTCTTACATTGCTTATACCTACGACAGTATAAGAATTGATTCAATTTGTCATCCCTCTGCGGCCGAGCTTCTTTTTATCTTGGCATCGAGGGGCTCAACTATAACCAGGCCAGGGATGTAGTAGGTTGTTGAATGAAGCTGAAAATTGGCCCATGCTACTTAATTAGCACTACCTAGCACTATGTTCTGGGTAAATGACAGTTTAGGTATAATGCACAATAGTAAATTCTGGGGTTACGATGACATAAGTCCTGTCTATACCTACTACACCTCTATAGGAGCCCTTAGAATACTATAAACCCAGGGGGGCTACTAGTGTTTAAGCTTCTGTAACGATAACTAGCTTAGGTATAACTAGTTTCATGGACAGTCCAGGAAGATTTCGACTAATAGCGACGCGTTCCCAATAACCTGCTTCCCCGGAGTAAGGATGTGAGTGGCTAAGACAGTCTAGTAAACTGGAGTCATGTGGACGGTTACTCACCGAAAAATTATGTAGGGCGATGCTGCTTCAATAGTATAGCATTCTTGGCGTCTACGGTAGTTAGTTAGTTGCTTGATCTACTAGCTCGGCAGTATAGACCCAGTCCTAGTCTTAACCTCTTATAGCCCGCATAGAGATCGACACTTATATCGAAGGATTGGTAGTGAGACTTATGAGTCTATCGTATCAACTACTAAGGCTTTGCAAGATAATCTACTATTACGTAGAAACAGACGTTGTTCTTTAATACCACAAAATTCTTCAACGGAGATAACCAAACCATTTGTTGATATAGTAGTAAGGTTGATGGCATCGTGCATGATGATTTACAACACTATCCAACCAACATCTGACTACTACAATGACTCACCCGTTCGAATAGTTTACGGTGTGATACTATAAACTCAACTCATTCATCCAAGCCCTAATCTGTTTCTTTAGGGTTGGCCAATAACGAGGACTACCTATAACGCAAGATTAACAAGATCTTCAACAAGGATATGTAAAGTATGCATAGCAACGCACAGCGTGACTCGACAGAAACGCATGTCTCAGAGCAAACCACCACCACGCAGACACACGGAAGCTCAATTTCTGACGTTCTCCACATCCCCGCATGGAGCCGGTGCTCGTCTGATCGTATAGAGTAGACCTTCCCACTACCGCTATCCGTATGTGTGCATAGGTATAGGTATACCAACCTCCTATATGGCGGGAAGGCAAGGTTGTATATCCTAGGTGTGCTGCAGGTAGCCATGCGTCACAGCCCGGATCCCGAGCCGAGACCGATAGCAAGCAACGGTCGATTCGTCTCTCGCCGAGCATGCGCCACTCCACCCCACCTAGAAGTCCAAGTGTGGGTGAACATCAAGCCACGGGACCCGTCGAGTCTTGCTATACTAGTTAACCCTGGCCTGGGTTGGGTGTGGTGGTGCTATGGGGAGAAGACGATGGGGCACTCTCTCTATGACTGTATGTAAGTGGGTGCGGTATCATGAAATTTGACAATCCCATGCCATCATTCCTATAAAATTCTTTAGGCTGCCAAGCCGGTCGATGCAACGTGCCGTTGACCAGTGGGAACGTCGCCGGCGATGGGAATGGTAGAACTGCTGGCTATAGTTTTACGAAGGGAAAAAAAAAAAAAAAAAAAGTTTGTCTAGAATATGGATAGCGACGTAAGGGATCTCCCGAACCCGAACGTAAAAGGCGGCTAACCAACTTGACCTATCCGTCTAGAAGATCATTCTATCATTATATGATGCCTTTCGCCACATAGATCGCTGCCTGGTTGTTGAGAATGTCAATGTACGTAGGTCCTACGATATGGCAGCGCTGGTCTAGACCCGGAGATGGCATTCGCCAACAAGATCTACAAGCGGAATACGACGCGGGGGCATTCCTACGACGGTATCATGTGGTTTTATCTGTCTGCCTTCTCAGGGCTGGCTATCCACTAACCTACGATACCAATATGCAACCACTTGACTACCTCCTAAGACAAAGACATTGTAGATAATCAAGGTTATGCATCGAGTACCTATGATGAAAACTTGCGGGAGTCCGTATGCTACGTACCTAAGTTACCTACCTTACAGCCAAGTGCTTGCATTATGCCGTGATAAACAAGATACACACTCCCACGAGGAGAATGGGACTCCGGTTCTGCAAGAGTCCTAGATCTGCCTAATCTAGCACAATGTAAGTAGGCGGTGGACGGACCAATAGGTAAGCAGCCTGGGAATTGTCCATTATGATTGACTGGGGAGCCCAAATTGAGGACAGATTGAGGGGTACGCTTCGGAGGGGTAGAGAAGAAATTACCTACCTACCTATGTAGAAAGGACAAAAGATAAAAAACAAAAAATAAAAAATAAAAATGGATAGCCACTATTCCGAACCAAGCCAAAGGTGAGGGATCTACGGGACGAGCGGGAGTCGATCGCTGACTAGTAGTACCATATTCCTCGGCCTCAATGTGGGTAGGTAATGCGATAATGCGATAATGTACGATGATGTTGAGAAGACCAAGGGGGAAGATGTGATGAAAAATAGATGGGTAAGACGGGTTCGACGGGCTGGACCGGGAAGAGAAGGTCGAGGAGGGGCCAATCAGGCAGCAATCGGCCGTGAGTAATATCCGTGGGGTGGGAATTGGGTTGAAAGAGTTGAACTAGGGGGGTGTATGCGTGTGGTATGTGGTGTGTGTGTGTGGGATAGGGGGTTGTTTGGATGAATACCTGGGAGAGCGAAATGTATCTCCCGCACAACTTTTTTTTTCTTTTCTTTTTCGTCCCTCCCCTTGTCTTTTTCTGACCTTCGACCATTTCGAGTCGCCTTACTCTTTGGGGATGGAGATTTGGAGGGGTAGCTCGTTGCCTAGGGTATTCGGACGGTAGCATTCATTGACAAATACCATTGAACCAATTTGTTTGTCGCACAGAAATAGTAATATCAACAACTTCTCCACGTCGACCAGGCGAACATTGTACATACTAATCCTAGTAATCTATTGGATGTCTTGAGTCAGCTAAGCTACTCCTTTTAACGTAGCTCTAACTATTGGGTATCTCGAATCTAATAATACTATCTACGGTAACTACATACATGTCAGTGATATCGCGGGTACGATAAGTACAGGTAAAAATGGTATAAGTATAAAAAACAGATAAATGTTTCTTAAAATCGGATTTGCAGTTCCCTAAAATCTCATAAACCAAAGGGGATGAACCAGTTGGTTGTATATGAGCGATACCAATACAGGCTTGAACAGTGAATAATAGAAAAAAAAAAAAAAACCAGCCATGCATTTGTCTATCGAAACAGGGAAAAAGCAAACCAAATAAATCCAATACAAACCAAGTAATCATCACAGTGCCCAGGTATCATTAGTCCAACGCCGTAGTCGTATCCTTTTACATGCAAGAGTTTTACACTGTTTTGACCTTTTTTTTCGGGTTTTGTGTTGTTTTACTCCCAACGGTATCTTCCATCATCGTAAACTATCTTCTCTCGAGCTCGCCCTAGGCTTCGGGCGTCGCTCACAGTGGCCCGCCGGCTGGGAGCCATGCGGTCTCTCAGTCGCTGCCTTTGCGCCTCTTCTTCTTCGCGCTCACGCTCGCGTTGCTCAGCGGCTCGCTTCTCGCGCCGTCGCCTCTCGCGGTCTAAATTGGCCTTGCGTTCGCGCTCTAGGCTCATCTGGTCCATCGCAAGTACAAGCGCCGCATCGTTAGGATCAACGGCTACTGAACCCCGACGGTATCGTGTCTTGGCTGGTACCGTTGTAGTCGGCACAGGAGGCCGGTTGGCGATATCCTCATTCGCGCGTTCAATTTCGGATTGGACTTTCTTTTTCTTCTCATCCTTCTTCTTCTCGTCTTTCTTTTCCTCGTCCTCGAATCGAACGTGGCTGTTCCTGCGCTTTCGGCGACGTTCCTCCTCGTCACTATCCTGCGACTGCGAACTCGACTTGCTAGACCCTTGTCGCCGGTGTCGCGGTTCATTGACTATTTTGACTTCGATAGAAGGTCGGCTGTGCGATGAAGTTGAAGTAGACCTGTTGCGCTCGTGTGGGCTCGTTTCGCGGTGCCGGGGCTCGCGCACGCGGATAGTCTCTTCACGGGGGCTAGAAGGCATGCTGCGCGGTATGTCGTATTTGCGGGGTGGTGTGCGCGATAGTGGCGGGCTGTCAACGTAGACTGTATGGTCACCGGCGCGTTCACCCTTGTCGCGTCGCGACGAGCGCCTGTTAAGATCGATGACCTTTTCGCCATTGATGTAGACACTTGATCGCCCTTTGGAAGAGTGCTCCGAGTCAGAAGCGGAGTGAGACGAGAGTGGTGGAGTGGGCGGGAATTGGCCAAAGCTGTATCCTGGCGGGCTTAATTGACCGGATCGGACATATTCCGTTGGGTGTTGGAACGTCTTGGTGAGCTTGCATGGTAGGCCGTGGCGCGAGCTGTCGCATAAGTCGTGCTTGATCTGCTCAGCGCTGTGCCCGTCAGGGTAAACGTAGGTAAATATGTTCTTATGGCACATCGTGTCGGTTGGTGATGTGTTAATGCGACTAATGCGCGGTGGATTAGGTTGGATAATCTGAGGTCTCGGACGGTTACTTCGGAAGTTGTTGATAGAATGCGATTCGAGCGATACGCTGGCCTGAGCCGGAATGATTTCAGTTGAGACTAATCCAGGTGAACGTTTATGGTTGTAGACAGAGTTGTTGACGATAATCCTTGGGTAAGATGCCACGGCAGTGTGGTCAGTCGGCAGTGTCAGAGACGGAACAGTTAATAAGGAGTTCAGCTTCTGGGCTTAGAGACATG